GAAGCTTGTGCAGACCCACAAAACCCAGTGGTGGCCTTCCTCAATGGCCAAGGTTCCCATTTCCTGCTATATGCCTATTTCTTCTCCCAGAGCTCCTCCCTACAGGTCCCTGTGGCAGGCCCTGGACTCTTTCTGGAGGGTGGCCCAAAGCATCCTCACTGTTCACTGGGAACCCCAACAAGGCCTTATTCACAAGCGGGTGCTTCTCACTCACCCACCCCTTCAAAGAGGCCTGGGCAGGTGAGGAGGCAGAGGCCCAGAAAGGGCCAAGGAGAGACTTTGCCAAGCTACCCAGCAAGCCCTGGGCGGAAACAGATTCAGGACTGGAACTCAGGTTTCTGGGCTCCCGGCTTTGTGTAGAGAAGAACCCAAGGGCCAGGCAAGTCTCCTAGAGCATGAGCCTGGCTTTGAAATCCTAGCCCAGGTGCTTCCCAAACTAATCCTGCCACAAGGGAAAATGCTGAGGGCCTGGTCTGTCCCTGGGGAGGCCCTAAGTGTTGTCTGGGACACTGGAAGTTTCTAGGGGCCAAGGCACACTCATGGTGGGGAAGCAGACCCCTAGCGAGGGCATGGCAGCTGACCCCAGCTGAAGACAGAACCAGGTGGCTCTGTGAATTTGAGCAAGCGCCTTGACCTCCCTGAGCCTGTTTCCCCATCTAGAAATTGGGGATAATGATGGCTGCCCTGTCCACTTCTCAGGGTTAGGGTGAAGCTTAGCAGAGATAACATTAACTCCCACTAGTAAGCTTGTGCCACGGGCTGGGTGCAGTGCCCAACACTTTCCCTGCATCGTTTCATTCAACCTTGACCACTGTGCTGAAAAGTGGGCATAGCATCCTGCCAGATTTGGAAACAGGGCTCACTGAGATCAAGACACTGCCTTTAAGTTCTCACAGATAAGTGAAGAGTGGTGCTGGGATTTGAACCCTGATCTGACCCAGACTTCCCCCTTCCACTGAAAGCCCTTTGTCAGTATGATTATTATCAGATTAGCATGGCACGGAGGCCAGCTCATAATCAGTTTATTAAATTCCCTTCATTCTAGACCATACTGTAGAATGTAAGTCTTCTCTTTGGGCCCCAGGCAAGGGTTCAAGGGCTGAGTTGAGACCGGGTTCGGCAAACTGAGACCTGCCACCTGTTTTTATAAATAAAGTTTGGTTGAAACACAGCCACACCCTTTCATTTACACTTTGTCTAGGGCTGCTTTTGCAGCAGCTGACTGGGGGAGTCGAGACAGAGATGGAAAGGCCCCGCAAAGTCGAAAATACTATCTGGCCCTTTGCAGAAAAAGTTTGCTGACCCCTGATTTGAAACATTCAAGGAAATATTCTGGATGCGGCTCTGGCTTTTGGCTCAAGTCCACGGGATCAATGAGGGGAGCTCCTTGCCGGGCTCCCTCTGTAAGCACTGGCCAGTTACATCAGGAATACCAGCTTGTCAAAGGAGCCCTGGAGAGGCCTCTCATTTGGAGGTTCCAGAGTAAGGCTGGCTGAGTCTGCAGCCCCTTCTAGGGCTGGGAGCAGAAGATAGTAAGTCTTCTCTGCTATTCCCTTTCACCGTTAGCTGGCCTGAGCTCACTCTGGTCAGAAAGAAACTGTGGATTGAGAAATTTCAGCTGAGTAACCTTTAGGCCTGAAAAAGAAAGTTATACAAGCACTTCCGAATGGCTGCTTGGGCCAGGCCCCATAGTTCCCTCCGTAGTGGAGGAGCCCAGCCCCAGTTGGTACCAAGTCAACCAGGGCTTGTGGGAGAGTCTGAAACATTAGGCTTCGGAGGGCTAGGGCTCCTTTTATACCACACCTGGGGGCCTGAGAAGCCATGTGTCTGGGCCTGGGTCTCTTTGCCTCCCTCATCTCTGTCATTTCGGAGGCTGCCTACTTTCCAGGTGGATTTGAAGCACTGTTGTTTTTCGAGTTCTCTGTCCCCCACCCCCAGCCTTCAACCTCTTGCTCTAGGACTTATGGGCCAGAAACAATTAAGTGAACCCCTTTTTCTTTTTACCTCTGTGTTTGCAAAAACCACCCCCTACTCTGATCCTACTGTATTTATTTGGTTAAGATATCGCCAAAGGGTGGCAACCCATATGTCCTGCCTTCTTTTGGTCTGATGTCTAATTATCTAATTATCTTTCCCTCATTCTCTGCCCCAGGGTCAGACTGGCAGTCACCCACTAGCCTCCAGTTGGTTACATACACCTGGAGGACGCAGGTGGCCGCTCCCCTTCCTGCCCCTACCTCCACTGCCCGCCAGCCTCCTGCCAACTTAACCAAATGTGATCGGGCTGTGGGGGCCGGTGTTAGCGATCCCACCAGTCCACACCATGCCATCCATTTCTTCTGCACTTACTGAGAATACCGAACACGCTTTGTACTTAAGTCTTCCCTCTAAGTAGGGGAACGTTCAAAGGACCAGAGAAAGGATTTGCATTCTAGAATTTGAAGTCCAGATTCTAGATTCACTTACTAGCTTCACTTCTCTGAGCCCCTTGTCTCATTTCTCACTGGTAAAATGGGGCTCGGGGACTGTGTCACCTAGTCGTTAGAATGACAAAAGGAGTTATTTTTATAAGGAGCTCTGAAAGCTGCACACTTCTGGGTGGGTATTAAGTTCCCCGGCCCTGCCACCACCCCCTTCTCCTTGGTTTCATGTAAAATTAGAGCTTTGGGGGTGATTAGGGAGGTAACAGACCAATCAGCATAAAGCCAGCCCACCTAAACCTCTTTGCCTAACCAGTTACTCTGACGACCAGTTTGCCTAAAAGTCAAAGTAGTAATTTTGAAAGAAGGCATTTTGTACCAATTTTCTTAAGAGGCACTTCCAGCATAATGTCGTATTTTTAAATCACTGTGTCGCAATCGGCAGCATTTTGTCAATGATGAGATTATTTTGTATGCTTGTGCGTGGCTTTTTCTATTTTGTCTCCTACTGAGCAGTTTCATGGCTTTTTAGCAAGTTTGTCTGCAGACCCTTTCTTAAAATTATGTATTTCTAGCACCAAATACCCATCAAATCTGTAGAATATCCCACAAGATTTATTGAACGCGCCTTTTTGATCACTCCTGTCTCCTTCTCGCTGGGTTGTACTCTGCACTGTGTCTGTCTGTGTGCACCTGATGAGTTGATTAACCAAATTAGTGTGTACCCATGCTCCTTTCTGTTCTGCAAGATATTGGCGTTTCGACAGCAAGCGTGAAGAAGTGAGACAGATGGGGCAGAATTGTATTGAACTCCTTGCATTTTATTTTTCAGCCTTTCTCATTCATCAAGCAGCTCTATTTTGTGGAACATAAAACGATACATACAAAGTCATTACCAAGTGTACTTATTGCAGGAAACATAACCATTTTCAGGAAAGGCAAACTGGCTAAAAAGTCCTGAAAGTGTTCAGAAGTAGATAAAATTAGAAGACACCCACCAAAGATATAAAACAAATTTGAGTAGGAATCCCACCTTTAACCAGAATGTCCTTAAATCAATTGCTTTGTAAAAAGCTTTAAATGACACCGAAGGGGGAAAAAAAAGGACACCCAAACAGATGCCAAAACACTTAAAAGCGGACTGAATGTTATGTGAACCGGTCATTAAGCACAGAGGTTCCTTTTGCGAGTTTGCGGCAAATTGGTTCAAGGCCATTTGACCTGGAATTGATTTGGGATGCAGGCACTTACCTCCGTGCAAGTGCAATATGTGGGCACAGGGACAACCATGGACCTCAGGGGACAGGAATGCCCCTCCTGAACATGACCTCCAAGAATAAGGGTGAATTGTCAGCTTTTAACTCTTTATTATAAAGACATATTTACACAGAACAATTTTTACAAGCACAGTGAACACAATTATGGGAAAGGGACAATTTCTTAATGAAAAGGGCTTTAATATCTTTGTATAAATTAGTATAAGAATCATACACAACCATTTTAAATAAGACAAGCCCCCAGCCCCCCACTGCTCTCTTCTGCCCTGTGCCTCTGGACTTGACCAGCTTTCTCCCCCTACCCCACGGGGCTGGCTGGGCAGCTGATGAGGCAGGAGATGCAGAGAGGAGGAGGGGAAAGAAGGCCCGATCCCTGATGGGGGCATCAGTGGCAGAAGGGGCTTCCTGGACCCTGGCCAGCCCCCACTCCCAGCCCGAAGGGGGTGGGGGAAGCGGGTGCCCAGCCGGCTCCTCAGGGTGGGCCTTGAAGCAGCAGTGGAAGTGAGGGGGGAGAGGCGGTTAGGCAATGTCGGGGTTACTGTGGGACTCGGAGGGCCCTGACTCCCCCTGTCCCCACACATACATAGGTGGGCCATCAGGCTCTTGTCTCCCCTTTCCTCCCTCTTGGGAGGCCTCTGGGAAGGAAGCCTGCTCAGACCTGTACTTCCTCCCATCTTTCCTTCTCTCCTTCCTTCCCTCCCTTCCTTCTTCTCCCCCTTGCCGCTCCCCTAAGGAAAGGCCACTGGGAAAGAAGGTCCAGTCCACATGAAGGGAAGGCTACCGAGGCCAATTACTTAAGGCTACCTTCTGGCTCCCGAAAACCAGTGTTGGGGTTCGAGCAAGAGCCTCAGAACCTGAGCTGCCTCTGCGAGAACACCTGGGCCCTGGAAGTGCTGCAGGAATGGGGGCCGCTGGCCAGGGACGGGCCCTTTCAGCCCAGGTCGGGGCGGGGGGGGGGGGGCGGGATGGACCAGCAGGGCCAAGCCAGGGAGGCGGGAGCAGCTGGGCCCCCACACGACCGTGGGGCACTTCACAGCCGGCCTGCACCTCCCTTCCCCGCCACCCCCAGCCCCAACCGTGCGCGGGCAAGGCACTTAGTGTGTTTTGAAAAGATATCATCAAGAGGGAAGAGGACATCATCAAGTGGGAGAGGGGAGACCTGGGTCCTCATTCTGGCTCTGCAGTGACCCCGAATAGGTCCGCTGTTCCTCTCCAAGCCTGGTTTTGCAGGAGTTTGCCTAAGGAGGCGGAGCTAAGTGATCGCCAAGATTCCTTTTGGCTCTGACATTCTGTGATTCTTGGCAAAAAAAAAAAAAAAAACCCACTCCTCCTGCTTGGCTTTTGCTCCTGGGAGGGTACAGAGCCATCTCCTGAGCGAGAGCTTGAACTAGCGGGCAAGGGAGGGAGGGAGCGAGTTGCGGGTGAGGTGGGGGGCAGTGTTAGGAGACACAGAGAGGTGACGAAGTACTTCATGGCCCCTCTCCTTCGCCTCTTCGGTAAGCCAAACACGGCAGGAGGAAAAGCCTACAGCAGCTATTCCTCTTCTCCAATGCTTTCCCTCTCCCCTCACCAGAGGACCGAGCCCCGTTCCGATACCCCGCAAGGCACCTGGTCTGCATCCCAATCGATGCCCCAGCCCGTTTAACCAGGGCCTCCTTGCCGGGTGAAGGGTCCACGTGACTTGAAAGCCTGGGACCTGCCGGAGCCCACTGAAGAAGGGAGTGTTTCCCCTCCAGCCCCCAGGGCACCAGTGAGGTGAGGAAGGAAGGGCTGGGCGAAGCTTGGGCTGTTGGACTGGGGGTGGGGGAAGACGACTAGAGGAAGGGGAAGGCCAGGGAGAAGTCCAGCCTTCCAGTGCTGGGTCTCCGAAGTCAGTCCAGGGATGGGCCAGGAAGAGGGGCTGAATGGATCCATGGGAGAGAAAGGGAATCATCCGAACTAGGGGCAGGATCATGTCATTCGGGGAAGCCGGTGGGTGAGAAGAGCCGGGACCGTCAGCAGCAAGGACAGGTGCGAGAAGAGAGGCGAATGGAAGTGAGGGCTCCAGAGAAGCAGACCAATCTATGGAGTAGCCAGAGTCGCAGGGGGTGGGCACTCAGGGGCCCCCTCAGTCCTAAAGAGACAAAAATGACCAGCGAGAAGTCACGGACATGTCTTAGGTCAAAGGAACCAGCCGGGAAAGCAAAGGAGACAGCCTTCGTTCCCCTCTCCCCACAACCCTGAACCTAAAGCCCAAGGTCCCTGAGTTGGTGCCACCTTGTCCAGGCTACAGGGGCGAGACAGCAGGCCAGGCCTCAGGGGCAAGCTTAGGCCTTGCTTTCTCTGCTACTGCCTTGGATTTTTCTTTCTTTCTCATGGCTCTGGGCAACTCTCTTCCTCGTCTCTGCCTGCTGCCCCCCAAGGCTCTCTGCCTCCCTCCCCTTCTCTGGTGAAGATCCACCCTGCACACCGGTAGGATACCCTGAGGCATCCCTCTCCAGCTCAGCAAGGCCCCTCCGGGACTTCTAGAACTCTCCAACTGGGCCAGCCTGCCCAACCCCGGGCAGCAGAGTGGAGGGGAGCTGACACCCCACTCCTGGGGAGTCAGGAGATTGGCTCCAGGTGTCAAGCCCCTCTCTGGGCTTTGGTCTCCATGTCTGTAAAATGAAGGGGTAAGATGGGTGCTCTGTAAGCACCTACGTTGCGTGCGGGGCCGGAAGGGCTCGGTGCAGGTGTCTGGCCAGCAAGAAGCAGCAGGGTCCCCCAGCTTCCAGGCTGTCCCTCCCCAGCTCCTTCCGCTGCCCACTGACCAGAGGCTCAAGTACCTGCTTCAGAAAGGCATGGGGCCCTTGTGCGAGAGGCGCGGCCGCTGGCGGCGGAATTTCCTCCGACCGCCCTGCCAGGGCCCCGGTCCATTCCTCGATCCTCTGGGCTGCACCAGGTGGCGGACATTGCCCTCCTCCAGCCCCTTGCCATCAGAAGGCTGCAGCAGGGGCCCTGCAGGAAGAGGAAAGCCTGTTAGCCAGGAGGGCTGATGCGGATGGGCAGGGGGCTGCGGGCTCGTGGTAGGGGGCCAAGTCTTCACGAGGTAGTATTCATCAAAGCTTCTCTTTGGTTTTATCTTCCATCTTGGTGAAGAGTTTGCAATTTTTACACTGGCCTGGGCCAAAACCTACTCACATCTTGCAATTTATGGAGCTGACTTTAGGTCCTTTTGGCAGTTCTACCATGTTTCTGGCAGGCGCAAACATGTTCCCCGTTTAGAACATCGGGGGGGGGTACAGTGTGGGGCATACGTCTGTACTTGGTCAGGGCACAGCAAGCGATAACTCCCCATTGCACCCTTGCAACGGATACACTGAAAACAGTTCACACATACAAGGAAATGAATCCCCGTACCACCATGTACCCAGCACCCGGATTCAACCGTTATCCAGGTGGAGTCCCATAGCCTTTAGTTATCCCTTTTCTTTTTTTCTTTGTGGAAGTATTTTACAGCAAATCCAGAACACCGTGTCATTGGACTCGGACATCCTTCAGTACGCAGGTGACCCACTTTTGAGTACTTGAGATCTCATACCTCACGTGATCTCCCAGTGGGTGTGGCTGTGCTGGGGGGTTGTAGAGACTCTGTGCGCCTTAAGCTGGGCTCTATCCAGCCTGTGACCACATTTAGAGGCTAGTAAATATTATCTGGATGAATGAGTGAACCAATGAGTGAATGGGCACTTGAGGCGGCAAGTCTGTGCATCAGGAGGGGTGCGGGCTGCTGTAGTTGGCACCTCCCCACCGAATGCCCTACCTCCTTTCATCCCCACATCACAGCCCGAGCCTGTGTCTGATGTAAATTCCTCCCACTTACATCCCAGTTGGCTTCTCCTCGGCTCTCTGGGGCTCTGCTCTACATCTGCCCACATCTGGCGTAGAGCAGGAGCCTCCTGATGCCAGGCCAAGCCCTGACAATGGAACCTAAGTGGTGCTGGGTGTTCTGGGGTGCAGTGAGGGAGAAGGCACCTGGGCTGGCTCTCACCAAGGCTGCAGCACAGCCAGGGGAGGGGAGCTTGCACTCCAGAAACAAGCCCAGCCTCTGGAAGCAGGCAGAAGAGGGAGACGAGACGGTGCTGGGCAGAAGGCGGACTGCAGGGCACTTGAGCCATGCCCAGTCCGGGGCTGGGCTGGCCTGCAGAAATACGGCTTCTGAGGTCAGCAATCACAAATCCCAGTCTCTCTCCTCCCACACCACCGGATTTGCCTTCAGTTATATCCCTGCCCCTGAAGCTCCATTTCCATCCATCCAGGCATCCCCACAACTAGCTCAGAGTTTCCATATCACCACCCGTTGGCTGCTAGCCCCCCAGTCATACCCCTGGCTGATCTTCCTTTCCCTCCTCCTGCCTCCAGCACCCCCATGCTCTGGGTCCTCTGTTGGCTCCTTGGCTCTAGTGATTCTTCCTCCTGTTGCACACAATTTCCAGGCATTTCTCCTCCTCTTGGGCCAAAAGCAGGCGAGGTTTGTTCTTCGGGCCCTCCCCACCCAGGCTCCCTGGGCCTGCTGCTCTCTCAAGACATGCAAGCCCTGGGGCGCCTGGGTGGCTCAGTCGTTAGGCGTCTGCCTTCGGCTCAGGTTGTAATCCTGGGGTCCTGGGATCGAGCCCCGCATCAGGCTCCCTGCTCAGCGGGGGAGTCTGCTTCTCCCTCTCTCACTCTCCCTGCTTGTGTTCCCTCTCTCACTGTGTCTCTCTGTCAAATAAATAAATAAAATCTTAAAAA